ACACACACACACACACACGAGCCACTGCCTGGGTTCAAATCTCAGTTCTGCCGTTTAATCGTGACATTGGGCAAGTTACTCAGGTTCCTCATCTGTTAAATGGGATAATTATAGGCTTACCTCATAGGTGGTTGTGACAATTAAATGAGTGTCTGGTACCCAGGAAGTCATCATCACTATGCTGTGGAGGAACTTCCCTAAATATGACAGAGCTGGTACTTCTGAGGAAGCACCTCAAGACTGTTGGATAACATTAACCATAGCAATTTCAGTGGCTCTCTTGAAATACAGCAAGGGTTCTCATCCCTCCCTGGGCAGCAGAGGCCTCTGTGGAGCTCCAAAGGAGACTTACAAACCAGTGGAGGGCTGGGCCCCACCCGGAAATTCTGAGTCAGTTATCTGGAGTGGGGCCTGGGTATCTGCAGTTTTTCAGAAAACCTTTTCACTTTGAAATGATTTTAAACTTACAGAAGATTTCCAAGAATAGTACAAAGAACTCCCACATGCCCTTTATCCAGATAGAACAATTATTAACATTTTGCCATGTTGGCTTCATCTATCTCTCTACACTAAGACATTATTTTTTTCCTTTCTGAACGATTTGAAAGTAAGTTACAAACATCTTGCCTATTTACCCCAAATACTTCAGCATGCATTTTCTAAGAGCAAGGGTATTGTCTTCTATTTCCAAAGTCCTGTAATCAAAATTAGGAAATTTAACATTGATAACATTAGCATTAGTACTATTATCTAATAATTGTTCATGATCAAATTTTGCCATTTGTATTAATAAAGTCTTTTATATAAATTTCTCCTGATCTAGGCTCCAATCCAGACTCATGCATGACATTTAGTTTTTATGCCTCTTTAGTCTCCTATGACCTGGAATAGTTCCTTGGTCTTTGTTTCTCATGACTCGGCATTTTAAAATAGAACATGTTTATTATTTTGTAGAATTTCTCTGCATTTGTGGTAGTTTGGTTCCTCATGATTAGATTCAGCTTTTGCATTTTTGGCAGGAATGTGACAAGTGACATTGTCATTGTATCATATCAAGAGGTACATGATGTCACTGTCTGTTATGGGAGATACTAACTTTGGTCACCTTGGTGCAGGTTTCTCCACTGTAAAGTGACCATTCATTTTACCCTCTGGAGTTAGTAATCTGAGGGGGGATACTTTGAGACTTTGTAAATATCTTGTTCCTCATCAAATATACACCTACTACATTGAAATCCATTGATAGGTCTTTCATCAGTTTATTACTGTGATGGTTGCAAAGGTGATTTTCTTTTTTTTTTTTGCAAAGGTGATTTTCTAATTGTCATTATTACGTGACATTCTATAAGAAAGAGCTTTTCCTTATTATCAATATGAACGTAGGAATTTTAAATTTTATTCAATGGGTTATAATTTATTATTGTCATTGTTAATTTTGACCTCAGTCCTAGATTTGTCAATGGAGCTCTTTTGAACTGGCCCCTGTGTTCTTTCAATGTGTCCCCATCATTTTTGAGTGCTTCCTTATTCTATGGTACAACAGAATGTTCACATTCATCTTGCACATTCCCTGCCCTGTTCTAGAATCAGCCATTTCTCCAAGGAGCGCTTCAGAAACCAAGATCTGGGTTCTCATTTCACAAGCATGTGCTCTTTGCTTTTGGGGGGCATCCATTTAAAAAAACTCTTCAGGGGCTTCCCTGGTGGCGCAGTGGTTGAGAGTCCGCCTGCCGATGCAGGGGACATGGGTTCGTGCCCTGGTCCGGGAAGATCCCACATGCCGCGGAGCGGCTGGGCCCGTGAGCCATGGCCGCTGAGCCTGTGCTCTGCAACGGGGGAGGCCACAACAGTGAGAGGCCCGCATACCACAAAAAAAAAAAAAATAAATAAAAAAATAAAAAATAAAAAAACTCTTCAGGTCAATCTACCTTACATCCCAGGTGGAGACACATTGCTCTACATCCTGCCATTTATCCTCACAGCTCCAGTGCATCTGGGAGGTGGGTACCCTGCTCCTCCTATTATAGAGGAAAACTGCATCGTTGGAAAAGTTAAGTAGCCAGCCCAACATCAACATCTAGGAAGAGACCAAAGCAGGAACCTTGGCAAGGGTTCAAAAAAGGGGGCTGAAGTGTACAAAGTTTCCCCAAACTCTGATCCCTCTGGGTGAGGCAGGGCGTATAGCTTGCACAAGCCCCCTATGTTGTGTCTGCAGCTTGATCCAGCTGGAGGCCTTCCTGAGCCGCCTGTGCTGCACTTGTGAAGCCGCCTACCGCGTGCTGCACTGGGAGAACCCCACCGTGTCCTCACAGTGAGTGCCCGTCCGCTCCCACCACTGCTGCCCTGAGGACCCCAGGCAAAGCCAGCTGCCTCGAGAGGGCTCCTGTTGCCCTAGCTCAGGGGAAAAGAGCCCACTAGGCTCTTGTGTGCAGACGTGTACATAGGCTTGTGGGCTTGAATGCGCTGCTTTTGTTCAGACACCTTCTTTTAGGTGTGGTCATAATATTTTAATAATAGAAAAATAACTCACCATGGGATCTCCCACCCTGATATAGCAGTCAGTCTCATGTTTGGATTGCCTTGTAGAGATTGTCACATGCAGATGCTCTCTATAGCTCATAGTGTATGTGAGAACCCGTTTTTTTTCACTTATTGTTATCATATAACTGGTTTTCCATGTTGCTACATAGCTTTTGGAATTACTTGTAATACAACATTAATATAGATGGTGATTATACTATAATTTATGGAACCATTCTGTGATGTATTTAGTCAGTTTCTACTTTTTATTACTAACCCTGTAGTGCACATTTTTATGGGTATAGCTTTAATCTTTTGAATCCAAATTTTTTTTTTCTTAGAATACTAGGATGGAACTATTGAATCAAATGAAATGAATGTTTTTAAGGCTCTTTGTATATGAATAATAATGACAACTAATACTTGTTTAGTCTTCCCCTGGTGCCAGGCACTGTGCTCAAGGCTTTCCATGGTACTTTCTCACTCTTGGTAGTAACCCTATGAGGAAGGTGCTATTTCAGTCCTCATTTTTTTTGGCTGCACCACTCCACATGGGGGATCTTAGTTTCCCGACCAGGAATCGAACCCACGCCCCCTGCGTTGGAAGCACGTATTCTCAACCACTGGACCGCCAGGGAAGGCTTAGTCCTCATTTTACATGTGAAGGAAGTAACACTCAGAGAGCCAAGGGACTTGCATAAGGTCACACAGCAAGAAGTGGCAGAGTGGGATTCAGATCCAAGTCTGTCTTATTCTAGACTTCAGAGTCTAGATCCTGAGGAGAGATGTGTGTTGGACCAGTTTAGGCGGCCCCGCCCGTGTCAGTTGTGACCTGTTGGTGGTTGTAAATCCTTCCTCCTCACTTTACTTTCCAGTTGTTTGATTAGCAGATCTTGTCAGCTTATTAACTGTTCCCATAGCTGTTTGTTGCCCAGACCCCCATGTGGGTGTGCCCTAAACCAGTTTCCTTCTGATCTTACGAATTTCTGATCCTGTGGTTCCTCTCTGTTGATCCAGGTTCTATGGGGCTCTTCTGGGCACGGTTTGCATGCTGTATCTGCTGCCGCTGTGCTGGGTCCTTGCCCTTTTAAACAGCACACTCTTTGATTAGCAGATCTTGTCAGCTTATTAACTGTTCCCATAGCTGTTTGTTGCCCAGACCCCCATGTGGGTGTGCCCTAAACCAGTTTCCTTCTGATCTTACGAATTTCTGATCCTGTGGTTCCTCTCTGTTGATCCAGGTTCTATGGGGCTCTTCTGGGCACGGTTTGCATGCTGTATCTGCTGCCGCTGTGCTGGGTTCTTGCCCTTTTAAACAGCACTCTCTTTCTGGGAAATGTGGAGTTCTTCCGAGGTAAGCCCTGGAGAGCCTGACAGGAATGGGACCCGGCTCTGAGGGCTGGTTAGGCTCCCCTTTATCTCTACAGTTGATCATCTGTTTGCTGTGCCTTCCACAAGGGGGCAGCACCACCCTTGGAGAGTGGTGGGCTCTGCCTCTCAGATGTTCAGTGGGATACAGGGGAGGCTGCTACTAGGGGTCCCTTTCCCTTCCCCAGACAGATGAATCACTGCTCACATGATATGGTGGCTTCTGGGAGATGAGGGAGGGATGTTTCCCCAGTGTTGCCATCTGCCTTCCGGGATGCAGCCCCCCAGGAACTGCTGCCTCATCTCTGTGATCCCAGAGTACCTGTTTGCCGTCTGGCTTCTAAAGCACTGAAACAGTCTGGAGAGGCCTTGAGCCGTAGAAGCCTGGGCCTGTATATATGTTGGGGTGATTGCTATACTTGTTTTCCTCCCTGTGGTTGGAAATTAATTATGGAAGCCATGATTTATCAGGCACTTACTACATTTAACCTCTCTTTAACAATCTCATGAGGTAGGTATTGGTACATCTGTCTTGTTTATGAGGCTTGGGTTAGGTGACTTGTTCAGAGTTAGGAGGGCGACTGTTTCCTGCTGCCGAGAAGGGGTGCTGGAGGAGGCGGCCAGCTGGCTGCAGTAGTGGGTACCCCCAGAGCACTGCTCATTCCATCCTGATTCTGCCTCCCGCCCTGTTCTCCTTGCTCTGGGTAGTGGTGTCTGAGTATAGGGCATCTCTGCAGCGGCGGATGCACCCCAAGCAGGAAGAGAGTGCCTTTGAGAGCCCGCCACCTTCGGATGCCGGGGGGAAGGGCGCTCTGCCTGACTGCACACCTGCACCTGCGCCCACGCCCACAGAGGTGAGCGCCCCTAACCACCTGGGCAGAGCCTGCTGCGGGCGGGCTGCCCAGCCTCCCTATTACCAGGTTGTTCATACCAAATAACTCCTGGGCTGGCCTCTGTAGTTCCTGCTCCTTACCAGGCCCATCTCCTCTGAAGTGCTTAATGGTAATGACTATAGTTAACTAGTAACAAGAGCTACGCTGTGCTTTATTGAGTGTTTACACTGCTGTTCCAAGTACTTTATAGACGTTAACCCCAGGAGGTGTAGGTTATTTCTGAGAATGAGATTATTCTCCTTTGTAGAAGAGAAGGCTGAGGCACAGAGTGGTTGTCCAGGGGCAGTGGGCCCAGGACTCAGATCCATGCCCTGTGGTTCTAGAGCCTGTGCTCTCAACCACAGTGCCCTCCAACCACTGTACGTCCTTTTGTGGCCTTGGTCCCATCTCCCTGTCCTGCTAGGTTACAGACTGCTCTCTTTCCCATGACTTCTTCCTTTCTGGCAGTTGTGCCATTTCCTCTGAGGCGTGAACCGTTGTTTTTCTTTTTCTTTTTTTTTTTTTTAATTAATTAATTAATTAATTAATTTTTCGGTTGTGTTGGGTCTTCATTGCTGTGCGCAGGCTTTTTCTAGTCGCGGCGAGCAACTCTCTGTTGCGGTGCGCGGGCTTCTCATTGCGGTGGCTTCTCTTTGTTGCAAAGCGCAGGCTCCAGGCATGCGGGCTGCACGAGTTGTGGCATGCAGGCTCAGTAGTTATGGTGCATGGGCTTTAGAGTGCAGGCTTAGCAGTTGTGGCACACGGGCTCAGTTGCTCTGCGGCATGTGGCATCTTCCCGGACCAGGGCTTGAACCCGTGTTCCCTGAATTGGCAGGCGGATTCCTAACCACTGTGCCACCAGGGAAGTCCGTCTTTTTTTTTTTTAATAATTTTTTCTATTTTTAAATTTTTGGCTGTGTTGGGTCTTCGTTGCTGTGCACAGGCTTTCTCTACTTGGGGTGAGCGGGGGCTACTCTTTGTTGCGGTGAACGGGCTTCTCATTGTGGTGGCTTCTCGTTGCAGAGCATGGGCTCTAGGCGCGCAGGCTCAGTAGTTGTGGCTCGCGGGTTCTAGAGCGCAGGCTCAGTAGTTGCAGCCCTGCATTGGCAGGCGGATTCTTAACCAGTACGCCATCAGGGGAGTCCCTTGAACCATTGTTTTGAGAAATCTGGATGCTGGCTCCGGGGAGGTGGCCTCTACCTTTGGGGCAGGGCTGCCATCTCTCTGACTGTAATAGAGTCTCTTTCCCCAGGACCTCACGCCAGGCAGTGTGGAGGAGGCTGAGGAGGCCGAGCCTGACGAGGAGTTTAAAGATGCAATTGAGGTGGGTGACCTTCCCCGGCACCCTCAGCTGACCAGGTCAGAAGTTGGGTGGTCCTGGAGCCATGTAGCTTCTCACATTCCAAGTCTGGGTTTTTAAAGTTTTCTTATGTCCAAGTGAGAAGCTGGAACTTGCTCTGAGCTAAAACTCACTGGTTCAAAGGGTGCCACTGAACCTCCACCCATCCTTTTGCTGACCTAGGCATCTGTCCTGGGTGCCCAGGGCAGGGATGGCTCTGGAAGACTCTGGGAAACACCCTGCTGGGGGAGGTGGGTCATTTACTGCCTTGGCTGGAGACTGTGGGCTTGGTGCCTTAGGTGTGGGGAAGGCAGATGTGGAGGAGGGCACTGCTGGGGTCTCTGCCTGCTCTTCTGAAGGATGAGGTCTGTAAGATGTCCCTTTGACGGGTGAGAATGGGACGTTGGAGAAAGCAGTTGCATGGCCAAGTGCTAAGTCTCCTGGTTTTAGGACAGTGGTTCACACTGATAGTTTGCAGAAGTGTTTTATTTGCCACGAGAAGCGTTAAAATAATTTTTTGAGCCAATATTTAAAAATGGAGAGATTGCGGTGGAAACTCTAGATTTTCAGTTTTTCTAAAAGCTCAGAAGCTCTGGGAGCCCTGAGTCTGTAGCAGTCAATGTAGCCGAGGAGTGACTGTCTCCTTTAGAGAAGTCACATAGTCCTCACCACTTCCTGTCATCCCCGGTCACCGAGTCCTAGTGGCAGTTGCCATTTATTGTCACGTTTGCACTCTGGTGTTTCTTTTTTTTTTAAATATATATTTTTAAATTTTATTTTATTCTTTTTTTGGGGGGGGGGTTGTATTGGGTCCTCGCCGCTGTGCGTGGGCCCTCTCCAGCTGAGGCAAGCGGGGACCGTTCCTCACCGCGGTGCACGGACCTCTCACTGTGGTGCACGGACCTCTCACTGCGGTGGTCTCTCCCGTTGCGGAGCATGGGCTCTAGGCGCGCGGCCCCCAGCAGTTGCGGCACGTGGGCTGAGTAGTTGTGGCTCACGGGTTCCAGAGCGCAGGCTCAGTAGTTGTGGTGCACGGGCTCAGTTGCTCCGCGGCACGTGGGATCCTCCCAGACCAGGGCTCGAATCCGTGTCCCCGGCGTTGGCAGGGGGGGGCCCTATTGGGTCCTCGCCGCTGTGCGTGGGCCCTCTCCAGCTGAGGCAAGCGGGGACCGTTCCTCACCGCGGTGCACGGACCTCTCACTGTGGTGCACGGACCTCTCACTGCGGTGGTCTCTCCCGTTGCGGAGCATGGGCTCTAGGCGCGCGGCCCCCAGCAGTTGCGGCACGTGGGCTGAGTAGTTGTGGCTCACGGGTTCCAGAGCGCAGGCTCAGTAGTTGTGGTGCACGGGCTCAGTTGCTCCGCGGCACGTGGGATCCTCCCAGACCAGGGCTCGAATCCGTGTCCCCGGCGTTGGCAGGCGGACTCCCAACCACTGTGACACCAGGGAAGCCCTATGGCTTTTCTTATAGTAGGAAATCACTTCTCTTTATGTCTCTTTGTAAGTGGGGGATACAAGAAATGGAGGTTTTGTGAGTTTTCACCAGGCCTATGATTTACACCCAGCCCGCTTTACTATTACATTAGCCTCGTCCATATGGGCATTTACATTTTCAACTGCTAAGATTTCTCTAAGACTTGAAGCAGCTGTGGACTCTGAGTCTTGGTGGTGGTAGTAGGGAATATATATGGCAGGGGCTTTCAAACAGGTTTGTTCATGACCTAGAGTAAGGAACACATTTTACATCTTGACCCAGTTCACACTTATGTCTGTGAAATATGAAAAACTTAAATGAAACGAAAGTTTCCTGAAAAATACATTGTAAGGGATATTTTCTTTCCTGTTCAATTCTGTTCTATTAAGATAATGACCAAATTAATTTCACCCAGTTTGAAAAACAGTAATACACAGCTTCCCCCAAGCTTATTTGATGTTGGGGTCCTTTTACAGGGGCCTCTGTTAACGTCACCCTTTGGGACATGCTCAGACGAACTCAGCCTAGCACTTATGTGCTTCCTTTCCTTTGGGGGCCCCCTCCCAGCAGCTTCCTTCTTGCTATCTTCTCTCTGTTTTCTCTCCTTCTCCCCTGCACCTTGGGAGGCAGGAGACCCACTTGGTGGTGCTGGTAAGTAGCAGCCTTGGTGAGGTGGGCAGGGGCTGGCGGGATGGGGGGAAGGGTGGCCGAGCCGGTGGTCGCCACGCCTCTCGGGGTCCGCCATGCACGCAGATCCCGGAGCCCTGCCACAAGGTGGGCAGAACTGGAAGCAGCTTTTCCCACAGGAAGATGACGAGGGGGCCACGTGCCCGGCAGAGGATGAGCTGGCCCTGCAGGACAGTGGGTTCCTGAGCAAGAACGAGGTGCTGCGCAACAAGGTGTCAAGGCTCACGGAGCGGCTCCGCAAGCGGTACCCGACCAACAACTTCGGTACGGCCCAGGGGAGGGCTGGCTGGGGGGCGCCCCGGCCGTGGGGCCAGAGGTGCTGGGTTACGAGGAGGGCAAGGAGTAAAGCTGTGTCCACAGGACCCTGGGGAGGAAGCACATGCACAGAGGGACTGAGAGGGAGGGAACATGGGTTCCTTCTTGTGTCTCTGTCCTTATTAAATCTTGAGGGAAGATGAGGAATTCAGTTGCAGAAGCGCCACTCCGGGACTGCAGAGAGGTGTGGTCCTGAGGCAGGCAGAGCTGCGGTGGGCAGTGGAGCATAACGGCTGGGAACTGAGTGTGAAGTCTGAGCGCCTGGTGCAAACTCCAGCGCTGCTGGATGTCCTTGAGCAAATTATTTAACTTCCCCGTGCCTCAGTTTCCCCTTTGTAAAAGGTGGATAATACAGGTTCTTACCTCACAGGGTCGTTGTGGGTCTCAAACGAGATAATGCTCATTAAGTGCTGGCACGTTCACAGTAAGTGCTTTGTAAGGGGCGCTGTTAACGTGAAAGGCCCTGGTCCATCCCGCAGGTGCCTAGGAGCCTGTCTGGATCTTTCCAGTCCGATTGGAAGCAAGTCGAAGGAAACAGTGTCTTCCCCTGGGGATGATGGAGCCCTGATGTTTCTTCTCCCCAGCCAAGCTGGTAGATTGGCTAGTCCTTATTTTACTGGGCATGGAGGTGCACCCAGGAAGGTAGCTTTGGAGAAGGGCGGACTTGACTGTTAGCACAGCTCGGAGACCTGGCTCCGATCAGGAGAGTGGGAGTCGAGCCGAGCCATTGTGATGAAGTTATAGCTGAAGCCTGGGGAGCCGGTGACTTGGGAGTCACCCTGGTCCTGACGCAGAACTTTGCTTCTGCCTACTGTCAGCTGACAGGAGGAGGACGGTCTGGCTGCGCTGTCGGTTCTGGTGGGAGTGAGTTCCGGGTGCTGCGCCCTGGGAGAAGCCCCTGGGGTTTATCTTGAGGCATTTGACCCCGGGCGCTCAGGGCCTACCTTCCTGCCCCTGCAGCAGCCAGGGCAGTTGTTTCCTGAGCGTTAGACCTCGTGGACATGCTGTTTCTTTCTGCTCTGTGAACGTCCCCAGTTATTCAAGATCCCTTCCTTTTATTTGTGATGATCGCTGACTGCTGCCGAGCGCTCTGTATTCAGTGCACTTTCACGTACACTGTCTCATTTAGTCCTTAGAAGCAGCCAGGTTCTGGAAGTCCCAAGTGACATTACACGAGACTTAATACTCTTGTTCTGGCAAATTATACTTTTATATCTATGAATTTTAAGTAAAGCCCCTTAGATGTTCCCATTTGGTGGGTGAGTAACCTGAGGTTGGAAAGAGGGATTTGCCCAGTCTTCAGCCAGTACATGGTCGAGCTGTGATTCAAATCCAGGTCGTCTGATTTGACTCCCATGTTCTTTCTTTTTTAAATTTATTTAATTTATTTATTTATGGCTGCGTTGGGTCTTTGTTGCTGCACGCAGGCTTTCTCTAGTTGCGGCGAGCAGGGGCTACTCTTTGTTGGGGTGCGCGTGCTTCTCATTGCGGTGGCTTCTCTCGTCGCGGAGCACGGGCTCTAGGCGCATGGGCTTTAGTAGTTGTGGCGCACGGGCTTAGTTGCTCCGCGGCATGTGGGATCTTCCCGGACCAGGGCTCGAACCCGTGTCCCGTGCACTGTCAGGCGTATTCTTAGCCACTGCGCCACCAAGGAAGTCCCCATGTTCTTTCTAACTCATCATCTTCCCTTTGCCCTGGTGTCTGAAGTGCCCTGGTTTTATGCCTATCCTGTTTCTGTATTTGGCTTTTGGTTCAGATAATCCCAACCAGGATAGGTGAAGGCTTGTCAGGTTCCCACGAGGATGGCAAAGGCAGAAAATGCTTCTTTTCCTAAGCCCCCCTTAGCCCTCCATTCTTCAAGACTGCTTGCTGTCCCTCCCTTGAGATATTCTTAAGCTCTGGGCCGTGAGGGCAAGTGTAGCAGCTCTGTCTTGGGTCTGCCTCCCATGGGCCGGGGTGAGTGAGCTGCTTTGGGGGCCGTTCCATTCTGGCTGCGAGTGGATGAAGGGGATGCACGGGAGGAATGAGGGCAGGCTGCTCACGAGCTTCTCCGTGAACTCCGAGTGGGAGAGTCCTAGTGGGAAGGGCCCCCTCTATCCTGGAGGCTCTGTGACCAGTGCCTTGGCAGGTCTGTGTGGTCTTAGGCTCCTTCCTGCTCTCTCTGCCCCTGTGGCATCCTCACATGGTGAGTCAGGACCTTGGCTGAAAACGGGCAGGAAGAGTTGGTCGGTGTCGGAAGGGATCGGGGTCCCCTCCTCCTCCACATGCCTGCCTGAGCTGGCGTCGGCACACAGAGCCCTCCCTGGCTCCAGGTTTGTGTGTGGTACGGGGCTGTTTCACTAGACCACATGGCTGCCTTGGGGCGGTTGGCCCTGGTACTCCATCCAGTTGAGAGGGGCCAGAGAGGGGTCAGTCTTTGAGCAGCTCCTTTCGCCTGTCCCATGCCCCTTGCTAAGGAGAGCCAGAGGTGGGCTGCCTTGACCTAGTTCGTAGTGTGGGGGACAGAGTCTTGGAGCAGCCTGTTTCCTGGGTTGGCATTACCAGCCAGCGGGGCGCTATGCTCTTCTCTCTTTTCCTCTGCCAGGGTCACGGGCTGACTGACAGCAACAGCAACAGCATCTACCTTAAGCCCATTGTCTTCAGATTTCTCCTGCTCTAGCTAGGGTCCCCTTTCCTTGAATGCAGGGAGTGTCCTTTGGCAAGAGCTGCAGGGGATTCTGGCTGGATAGAGAAAGGGATCACATCGCTTTGGGCCTTTGTGTGAAGGTGAGGCCTGGTGCTGTGTACCTGGCCAGACAGGTAGTCCAAGAGGCCCAGCAGTGCGCCCTGAAGCTGATAATTCCTCTGGTTAGATCACAGGAGGCCTTTGGGCCCCAAGTCTGGAAACCTCCTTCAGTAATCTTGTCCCCTGTCAGGTTTTTCTAGGACCATAGCCGGCTCTCTTCTGGGCCCACAGCCCTTGGTTGGCCTCTCTGGCCCCCTTTTGTGAGCCACCCTCCTGCCTAGTGTGGACCCCTGCCTTTTCTCCCCTGGCTCAGTGGCCCCATCTGCATGGAGATTTCTGTGTTGAGTTATAGTCAGTATTCTTGGCGGCAGCCCTTGCACCTTTCCTTGTTCTCATAAGTTTTTGCTTCTGCTTCTGGAGCTCATTGAAGTCATAAGCGTCCAGTGTGGCCTTTCCTCTCCTCCTCCATCCTTTTGATTTTTTTCACTCACCTGCATGTGCCCCCTTCATCAGACTGTGTCCTTGTTGCAGCCCACCTTTTCCTTCTTTAATTTTCCTGGAAGCATGGGTGGGTGGTGAGCACAGCTTCTATTAAGCCTCTTTGCCTTGATGTCACCTTGAAAAGAATGGTTGGGGGAATTCCTTGGTGGTTTAGTGGTTAGGGTTCCGCACTTCCACTGCAGGGGCCACGGGTTTGATCCCTGTTCGGGGAACTAGGATCCTGCATGCTGCGTGGCGTGGCCAGAAAAGAAAAAAAAAAAAAAAGATCGGTCCCCTCTTCCCCATCTTTCATCTCTTCTTACATCACCCTTGCCTCCTCCCAACTGTTTTCTAAGCTGCTACTGGCTTCTCTGCTTGAAACCGTGTCTGAAACCTTGTTGACTCATCGTGTCTGGTGGTTTAGGCAGGATCTCTTTCCCGGCTGTATGTCGCCCCGTCCGTCCACCACTCTTAGTGCCTGCACCTCTTGCCCTGTGCATCTTTTTGGAAGGTGCCTGGTTCTGAGCTTCTCTCCTGGAATCTTCAGGTGACAGAAAGCAGGAGTCTGGTGTTTTAGGAGGCATTTCTCTCTTTAGCTGTGGGCAGAGTACTTGTAAGGAGACACCTTGGAAAGGGTTGTGTCAGGCAGGTTTCCTTAGAGATCATTGGAGCCACCTTCTCTGAGGGATGCCTGTTGTCAAGTCCCTGCCAACTTGGTGTGATTTCCAGGGGGTAGATTCTGCTGGATGCTCTTCGATTTGGGCTGGCCCTACAGGTGGGGGGTCTCTAAGCCCCAGGTGGGAGCAGGGGCAGCAGCAGTGTATAGTCTGGAACATCAATTCTCGGTGGCCATCGGTTTTTCCTTCTTAGTTTGAATCCCTCCTTCTGGCTCTGGATCTGGACTTTGCACTCTGCTCCCAGCCAAGGCGTCTGGGCTGGGCTGGTGCCCTGAGTGTCCCCATTTAGAAGAGTCAGGAGAAGGCGAGAGTTGCAAGGCCTGGGCTGGGTCAAAGCTGAGCTGCTGCCTTTGTTTCTCAGGGAGCTGTACGGGCTGCTCGGCCACCTTCTCAGTGTTGAAGAAGAGGGTAAGTCTTCTCGAGGGTGTGTTTGCTGGGGACTTGGGACGAGATGTAGGGGAGTAGCTCGAGGTCACAGATGAAGTCTGACTGCTTGGGCCACATTGGGCCTGAGGTCTGGTCTGAGGTTTGCTCAAATGAGTGGGTCTCCGGAGCCCTGCCCCTGTGCCCATGCCTTCACCAGCCTTCTCGTGGGATGTCCCATCTGGTCTCAGTCCTGCCCCACTCGGGCACCTCCCCACTCCCATAGTTGTCCCAGGTTCTCTGGGCGGGGCCAGCTGGTGGAAAGGAGCTCCAGGTGCCCGGGGGCAAGACTGACCCTGGCTCTTGTCTGCAGCGGAACTGCAGTAACTGTGGAAACAGCTTCTGCTCTCGGTGCTGCTCCTTCAAGGTACCCAGGTCCTCCATGGGGGCCACAGGTGAGTGGTGCAGGCTGGGGGTCCGGGCAGCGGGAGGGCGCGCCTGCCTCCCACCTCCTCTGGGGGCTGCTGTGTGGGCAGGGAGCCAGGGGTCAGTGAGAGGTCCAGGGAACTCGGGATCTCCTCCATCTCCCTTTAACAAAGGAGAAACGAAAACATTTGATGCGCGGACAGGAGTATATATAATGCACCTGAATCGTGAAGCGCGGTAATGACTACCTGCCACCGCTCACTAAAGTTAGAAAATAGAGCACGAGTAGCACCACCAAGGCTCCCAGCGCCACGCCCGCCTTCCCCAGGCAGACCACAGTCCTGAATTTCATTTTTTCTCATGGCCTTGGTAATGCTTTTAACTAAATAATTTCTTTTCCTTCTGTAAAAGCTATACCTACTCATTGTAAACAAAACAAAACAAAAAGCCAAAGAAAGGAAAACATTCCTAATCTCTCCCAGAGAGAACTGTTGGGCGTGGACCCTTCCCGGTCATTAATGCCGTCACACACAGGATAAATACATATGCATGTTCTAAAAAAAAATGGGAGCATGTATTACATACTGCTTTGCACTACGTTACAATGTTAAATGGAGTGTCCTTTTTTCATTCTTCTGGTCATGCTAGTAACATACGCTTCTTCTAGAAGATTTGGGAATTACAGAAGAAGGAAGAGAAAAATAGTCTTGTAATCTTACCACCCAGAGATAATAACCACTGTTAAAACATTCTGGAAAATTTTCTTCTGGTATTTTATTTAAAAAACATTTTTAAAGGTATTCTTTTGGTGCTAAAATAGTTTCTAATGCATAGAACATCTGGGTGAGGCCTGCTGTTGGAATGGTCACCCCCAAAGCCCCCAGTTCCCATGGAAAGAGAATTCTCTGAGGGCAGGCTAGTGAGCTGGGACACCGAGCTTGTAGGCTGGGCGTTGGGTGGTCTGTGTGGGGCTTCGGGGAGTGGGGAGGAGGTTCTAGTGTTTGGGGCCATGAGCCAGAGGGCACGAGGAAGCGTCTCACCAAGTTCTTCCTCCTTTTCAGCCCCTGAAGCCCAGAGAGAGACTGTGTTTGTGTGTGCCTCGTGTAACCAGACTTTGAGCAAGTGAGAAGAGGGCCCAGGGTCCAAGCGGGCGCCTGTCTCTGGGGCCAGCAGTAGACCCCGCTCTCCCCACCCTTAGCCCCATGTGGCATGTGCTGGGCAAATGTGGCCTGAATGCTAGGTAGGCTTCCCCTTCCAGCCCTCGCTGTCTCCAGCCGGGTCCTGGAGCTGTTCTCCACTCCTACGGATGGCCAGTAGTGGTTGCTCTCAAACAAGGACTGGAGTGTTAGCCCTGCCCTGCTCTGGGCTGTTAGTGGACTCAGGGTTGGGCAGGGAACGTAAGTTAGAGGGCAGCAGTGAGCCAGGCCTGGTCTCACCTGGGATCAGGGTGTCCCTACAGGCCTGGGAATTCTAGAAGACTGGAGGTCAGAGATTGGGAAAAGAGATTCTTCCCCTGCTGGGTATTGGGCCAAGCCCTTGCCCTTTGAGAGCCTGCATAAGGGCTTGCACGTGTCCCAATTCTGTTGGAATGTCCCTTCAGGCATCAGGACCTCATCATTTCCCCACCAGAGGGTGTGGTAAGGGCTATCAAGACCAAAAGTACTTGTAGAAACAGGGTTGAAGGTCCCAAATTCCCCCAGTGGAGGACGTGTCTAGGAGGGCCTGGCAGAATCCTTCAGTGTTAAGCAGAGCAAAACGGGCACCCCAGCAGCTCAGAGGGCCTCAGCCCCACCTTGCAGGGACCTTGACTTACAGAATCTCAGCCCACATGTTATTCTGGTCTTTTCAGCTCTGCCTGGTAGATGCTGGGCACTCAGATCACTCCTGCTTCCTGTGTTCAGAGCCTTGGGCACCCCTTCTCTGGCCTAGAGCTACAATTCCCCTCCCTGGCCCCTTGTCCCATGGAGTGTGAGACCAGGAAGCAGAGCAGAGGTCCTGAAGCCCTCAACCTTTGGGGGCCTGAGAAGTGTAGGATCTCGCTGGGCTGGGTCTCAGATTCCAGGGCTGTTCTCCAGCAGGACAGCAGTTATGGGATAAGGCCACTTGGGGTCCCTGTCCCCTCTCCAACAATTTCACATTCACTCTGGGTTCCTAGGGGCACAGTGTCTCTGCCTAAGCCATGAGCAGGCTCAGGCACCCCTTCCTTCCCCAGGAGCTTCCCTGCCTTTTTGAAGTATTTATTTATTTATTGCATGGTTCCCGGGAACATGTGGCACAAGGAATGGGATAAAGAGGACAGGGGCTTCTCCTACCCTAGGATGCTTCCCTGAACTCATGGGCTGCCTGGGACTCAGAACCCTGGGAGGCGGAGACGTTTCTATGCCCTAAGCAGGGACACAAGGTGGCAGGTTGGGGAGACAGGGATCATCCTAGGCCAGCTTTCCCTCCAGGCCAACCAGTCTAGGAGCCAGGGGACTTCTCCAGGCCAAGTGGGGCAAGTCCCTGGGGAACCAGGCGGGCCTTGATAGACCCCCTTCCTTGGGCTCCTTTGTCCTGTGGAGATATGAGAGTTAAGTGCTTGTGCTTTATTTACACTGGAGAGGAACTAAAAGGATGTCTGTGTATATGGAGAATTGTTAATAAAAAGACCTCAAGCTTCCTATGTTTTCGTCCTGGTCCTTGCATGCCCCTTCTCCCTGAGGCTGGAGAGCCAGGTCCCCCCCAGCACTGGCCGAGTTTGCTGGCCTGGGCTGTGTCTGCAAGATGGGGCGGAGGGGCTGCGGAGGCTGAAGTTGGGGTGTGAGCTGGGGTTGGGGGAGGAAAGCTGTGCCTTGCACAGGAGGGGCTCAGCGAGATGCCTGTTGGATTGACTTGTGACCGCATTGTGAGGGATGGGGGTTGGGCTGGGGACCAGAACTTGGTAAATACTAAGCAATGCAGGCTTTAGAATGGAAAGATTTTAGCTAATCCCTCTGAGAAAGCAGAAAAGGATCAGCCCTGGGGGAGGCTGAGAACCAGCCGGAAAGAGGATTGGCTGTGAGATGGG